GAATTTTGTCAACCTCAAACGAGTCAAATCACCCAGATCAGAAGTTTGCATTCAAATGAGCAATGCAGAGGAATGAGTTCAGAATGCGTGTTTAAAATGTCTGCAAGAGATGTTTTCATTGGTATAGGTGAAGTTGAAATAAATTCACGATTAATACGTAGTAAATCTGTTGAATGAAATGAACTTAACGGCGAGTGATCTTGTAAAGTTGCGATGAAGTGAATGTTTCTGTGAGTGTTGTGCGCACACATATAAATACATGCTCCTCTTGTACAGACAGCACCGTTCAAATATCATAATGATGAAATGCGCGCTGTGATTCAGTTCGGTTGAAAGAGGAGCAATGAATAGAAATGAGAGAGCGCAATCAATCATTATTGATGTTAATGTGAGGGTTTGTTTAATCGTGTTCGGAATGCTGGTCTTTTAGAGGGCGCTGAGTAATCAGTTCTGTTATTTGCAGTTTTGTGCAATGTTTGATTTGACTGGGGATAATGATTACAATCCAATTAGAGTAAAGATACTTATTAATGCAAATATTTCATCGATCAATAGGATGAAGCTATTTGAAAACAGTGACACTTTTGATCCTGAAGGGTGTCGTTTCGGGTCAGTTTTGAGTGGCACTTTTTCGGCGACGACGATCGGTTTCTTCAATCGGTCACGATCTACGCCTACCTCAATTTGACTTGATCGTAGTCAAGCAGAGCGGGGTATGAATTCAAGCTGCAATCTTGATCGGTACAAAAGCAACTTTTTGGTGAGTGTGTACCATTCACCAGAGAATAGCCAGCGTTGTAGGTTATCATAGGGGTGATGATGTGGTTTTTGTGTATGAATATTTCGTCGAATGATCTATTGCTTTATATCCATATGCATGTATTCGTTGAATTATTTGCAAATAATTTTTAGCAATATAGGTGAGTAAATCAAGTTCTGAGAACGACAACTGGGTGAGGAGAAGAGAACGAAGTTGGTGATTTGAAAAGAAATCGATAGAGGAGAGCATCAACAGAAGCAAGATGGCCGATCACGAGGAAGACGAGAATGTGCCATTGCTCAACAACGAAGCAACTGCACCATCTACGCCCAATTACGAAGGTTCTTTTGAGGAAAAAGCGCCTCCCTCTCTCATTAACTTAAACTGTTTAAATTAACCTTTCAGCATGCTCCTATAATATAATCGATGTCTCAGTATTCCGTCGACAATTAAGGAGTAGCCCTTCCCCCGCCCCACATCTGTCACCTTTTGTTTTTAGCACCTCTGACAGCGAATATATTTACAGTTTGAATCGCATTGAATTTTTCTATTGCATGCCTCCCTCATATACCGATTTGATGTAGTGACTTTGTATGAGATGAGTTCATACGAAGTTATTGCATGTATGAGATCGAAGGCTTTATGATTGATTCTAGAAATTATTTTGAGGCAAAAGCATCCATCCATTTTAACGAGTTCGTTTTGTTCGATTGATTGCGATTGTTTGTTGATATTCTATTTGCAGAAAATAAGAAAGCATGATTTGTTGAAGTTAAACGGAATTGAGTTTAGGTGTAAACAATCCAGACGATGGTGCAAACGAAGAAGGTGAACGTATCTATACAAGGCCAGAGGAGCATTTCACAGAGCCACAGCACGCACCGATCACTCCTTCAGACGAAAACCCTGAAGCATCTCGTGTTGGTGGACCCACTGTGACATGTCGTGTTTGCTCGGCACTCATTCATATCGAGGGAAAGGTCGAAACCATTCTTATCCGTCGAAATTCTCTTAGATTATTTTACCTCATTTCAAGTCAATTTACTTATAAATTGCTACCATCTCTGTAAATTAACGCTTCAGTTCCATTCATAACATATAGTGTTCCTTTCCTTCTCAAACTTTTTTTTGCAAAACATCAATGTGATTGGTTCTTCTCAAATCATGAAGAATTATTGATCTGGATCAAGTTCTACT